AAAGATCTAGAGAGGATTCTCTCATTTGAGTCAGAAAATGAGAAATTTTTCTCAGGGAAGGGCATGCTGTGTGGTGACCGCTGCCCAAGGGACCATTTGCCATGAAGTCTTTGCAGGGCACCTTGCATGAAGTCTTTGCAGGGAACCTTTTCAGGGCTCTGCTATGAGGGAAAATAGAGGGCAGCAAACAGCTGGCTGGGAGACGTGCATGCTTCACCCTGGCTTCGCTTCACCATGTCTGGGGTAAATGGATAAGGCTGACCAGAGAGTTTGGAGCTGTTTTAAATAAGAGTAAGAGATGATATTTCACTACGACTTATCCCATTTGTGCTACCAAAGCAGGCAGTATGTTCTAGGAAAGGCTGGTGAAACGTGCTTCTGGGACAGCTTTGGGGTGTCTGCGGAGAGGAGAACATCCTTGGGAAGGGCCAGACTGAACAACTTGAGTTTTTATGTGTGAGCTCAGCAGGTAAGTCTGAGAGAAATGTAGCAGATTGATAGATGAAAAAAAACTATTTCAGTTTGAGTATTTTAGGTCCTTTCTACACCGTTAGTGATGTGGTTTAGCTTGTTAGTAAATTTAACCCCCTCCATGGTAGCGAGTTGAAGAACGACCATTGGGTGTGCCAAATGAGTAATTTCCTCCTCCCAGCTGTTTAACGCTTTCTCCACCTGAAGGGCTTCATAACGTTTCTGTCTTTGTTTATTTCATTTCCAGGTTTAACCCTCACAGGCAGCATGTTGCTGCTTCCCGTCCTTCTTGCAACTTCATTGTGGTCCTGTAAGCTCTTTTTCCTCTCCCCTCTCCTTCCCGTGTTCTGAGAACACAGTCCTGGCTCCAAACTCCAGTGGTTTCTTCCCCTCACACAATTTCTCCACTTCCCTTCCCAGGTGGAGACGCGCAGGCAGTGCCAGTGCAAACCCCGGAGCTGCGGAGGCAGATGAAGGGCAGCTCTGCCAGCATGGCGTGCCGAATGAGCGCTGAAGCCACTGTGCACTGGTACAAGCAGCTTCCCGGAGAGCCGCTGAAGAGGATACTGTACGTGTCGGGACAGAATACTTTTTTTGATGACAGAGGCGATGCAAGGAGATTTCAAGTTCGGAAGGATCCTACTGAGCCCCACTACGGTTTAACGATAGCGTATTTAACCCCGAGGGATTCTGGCACTTACTACTGTGCATATTGGCGTTATGACAGCATCACAGCATTAGATGGGCAAAGATAAGCCATACAAAAAGGCATTTTGCACTCTGAACCGCAAGAACTGAACTCTGCCAAAATGAAGATACTTCCCTAATCCACCCCTCACTCATGATTTTTCTGCAACAGGATAAGAAAAACAGCAATTTATCATGACAGCTGCTAAATATATCATGTTAATAATCAGTATACCATTTCAGTACTCACACATATCTGTAACACCCAGAAACTGGAGAGTCCCAGTCACTTTAGCATAAATGTATTGAACTTTGCTCTTAAGATGAAGGCTTGATTGTACTGAAAGCACTCACCTGACAGTGAACACGTCCTGTCTCTGTGTGTGTGTGTGAAAAAATGTGAGCTGTAAATTTCTCTTCTCTATTAGAATCCTTGGAGCAAGCAGAGAAACATATCTCCATCCCCTCAGTGCTTTCTCTTGAAAAAAAAACCAAACATTAATATAAAAGGAGAGAAGACCAGATGATCTTGCACACATAGAATCATAGAATCATTAAGGTTGGAAGAGACCTCTAAGATCACCGAGTCCAACCGTCAACCCAACACCACCACGCCCACTAAACCATGTCCCTAAGCGCCTCATCTACACGTCTTTTAAATACGTCCAGGGATGGGGACTCAACCACTTCCCTGGGCAGCCTGTTCCAATGTTTAACCACTCAGTTCTCCTTCATATTTTTCTTTTGCCTTCCTTTGCATTTCAGTCTCTACAAATTCCTACAACAGCCCAGAAACCCCAATTTTACTGTCACAGTTTCTCACCTGATGTGTCCAGGACAGAACTGAAATCCTCAGCCATGGGCTATGCCCCTGGCAAGCAGAGACTCTCAGGCCCTTTGGGATAAGTGTACTTCGTTTTATAAATCAGGTTCTATGATCAAAGACTCCTTCTAGGAAAGCTGGCATTTACCTGAAAGCTAAGTCAGAAAACAGACAGTTTTGTGCCTCTGAGTTCCTGAGTGCACATGCTCAGTATCCTGTGAGATATCCCACTAATGCATCTGGACCTTCAAAAATGAGCACAAATACCTCCATAGTGGTTGTTTTCCAGTTCCACGGTCTCCAAACATCATTTTTGCTGGACTTTTGGAAAGATTTGGATATGTTATGGCTTGCTATATATGTTTCTGGCCTCCTTAACTATTTGAAAAATAGGTTGTAGTACATGTGACCTCAGATGTTAACTTCAGTCAGCTTGCCTTCTGTCTTCACATTGTGGGATGTGACGATTCCTCACAATCAGTCTAGGAGTGAGTTGACAGCAACTTCCTAACACAGGTGGTTGAGCAGCCAACAAGGAAGCTGGGCAGGCTGGACCTCCTACTCAAAACAAGGGAGAACTGGTTGGGCATGTGAAGGTCAGGGGCAGCCTTGACTGCAGTGACCATGAGCTGGTAGAGTCCAGGCTCCTGAGAAGAGGGAGTGGGGCAAAAACAGGACCACAACCCTGGACTTGAGGAGAGCAGACTTCACCTTCTTCTGAGATCTGCTTGGAAGAATCTGGAGATTCTCTTCTCCTGGAGAGAAGAGGTGTCCAGGAGAGCTGGTTGATATTCAAGAATCTCCTCCAAGCTCAAGAAAGACTAGGGAAAGCTGCTGAATAAGGCAGAGATACTGGTGATAAATGACATGGAAAAAGACTGAAGTACTCAATGCTTCCTTTGCCTCAGTATTCACCTGAAAGATCAGCCTTCAGGAATCCCAGGCCCCTGAGAACAGAGGGAAAGTCTGGAGCAAGAAATACATACCCTTGGTGGAGGAGGATCAGGTTAGTGAGACCTTAAACTGAACATACGTAAGTCCATGGCACCTGATGGGATGTACACGCAAGTGCTGAGGCAGATGGCCAATGCTTTTGCAAAGCCACTCTCCATTATCTTTGAAAGGTCACAGCAATCAGTACAGGTTCCTGAAGACTAGAATAAAGCAAATGTCACTCCTATCTTCAAGAAAGGCAAGAAGGAAGACCTGGGGAACTACAGGCAGGTTAGCCCCATCTCAGTCCCTGGGAAGGTGTTGAGCAACTAATCCTGGAAACCATTTACAGACACATGAAGGTGAAGAAGGAGTAGTCAGCATGGATTTACAAAGGGGAAGCTATTTAGATAGCTTTAGATAATGAAGCTCTCTGCAAAGAGGATGTTGGCCATTTCATCAGTGACAAGTCTGTTTGGTGATAATGTGAACCTGGAAAGGTATATTGTTGAAGAAGGCTCCGGCCACTGCATGTGTCCTCTTGGCATAGACACCACCAAGTTTGATCTGTAATTATTCCTACTGGGAGACTTTCTGTGTTAGACAGCTACAGTACAAAATGTAGACAGTGCCTGTAATTTAGACATTTAATTGTGTGAGACCCAGTCACTACCGTATTCCTTTACTCTTCATCTGGGATCAGGTGCCTGACAGATTTCTGCTGTGTGATCAGAAGAATAGCAACATACTGCTACTGTTTTATACAGTATGTCCTGGTAGTTTTTGACAGCAGGGGCTTGATTTCAGGTCCTCAACATACAATTGCGAACACAGTTTTCACTCTGACTAACTATAGTTGGTCATGCAGGAGACTGTCATGGGATGCTGCTGGGATGAGTGACCTTTTCCTTGCACCTCCCTCCCTTCATCTTAAAGTCTGTTTCATATCTCCCTTCCTCGTCGCTTTGTTGTCACTCACCACCTAGTCACTTTGTTGTGCCTGCTGGCCCTTAAGTCGTTTCTCCTTCTCATCCCTCTCAGGGTGGCCTGACAGGAAATTAAATAGACTTTCCCACGGTTATTTATTGGGAAGAGAGGGACCCTTTCCATTGCCACCACACAGAGGCAGGTGTCTCTCCTTGCCTGCCTCTCCCTGGAGCCCTGCACTCGCGGGCACCTTTCCACGCTGGTTAGCAACACGTGCTTACTGCCGGCTTGCTGCATGTGGCCAACTGCTAGCAGGAGGGAGGCCAAAGCACCTCGTCTCCCTCGTGCCCAGCGAGCTACAGCCCAGGCTCACCGGTCACCGGGGAGTGCCTGCAGCACCTGACCCACTCATCGAGATGCCCTTCTGCAATGGCTGTTGACAGCAGCCCTCACCAGGTTCGCTTTTGTTTTTCAGTCTTCCTTTCCAAGAACTGTTTGCAGCTCATCTGAGCTTTGAAACCGAAACCCTGTGGCTGTACATTTCCTCCCGCACTCGAAACCAAAGTGGAGGTGCATCCCCGCAGTGCAGCTGCCCCCATCGCTGCAGGCTAATGGCCTCCAGCTGCTTCAGTGGAGGGCAGCACCAGCACGGGGGCACCCGGGGCACTTCAGCATGCCGCGGCTGGGTGACTAAGCTGAAGAAGCAAAAGGAGGTCCTTAATAGGATGGGGGAATGCCTCCTGCCTGCTCGGGCACTGTACATCTGTCCTCACGCCTCCGGTGACGGCATGCACTCACCACCCACCGGGGTGACCTCCAGGCTGAAACCTTCACACCCTGCTACACAGCTAGAGCTGCTCTCGCTTGCAACCCTTTCTTAGTGGCTCTGGCTCGAGTTTTCAAGGGCCACAATCCTAGGATTTACCAATATTTCTCGTATTTACCTGAAAAGCAGAGTGGACTACAACCTCTAACCAATTTTAGCATTTGTCAGCTTGGAGGTTTTCTGCAAATGTGCCCTATCTGCTTGCGCACAGAAGACCCGTCACTGAAGGAAGCTCAAGAGAGTCACCTCCTCCTCGAACACAACACTGTCCCCATCTGGGGTCCCTTTCACCCTCTTCTGAGTCTGAATGACAGCAGAGCGTGACAAGCAAACATGCTGCTGCTGGTAGTGCTTGTGGCCACAGCCGCTTGGTCTTGTAAGTCTTTCCTTATTTTCTTACCTTTCCTCACAGGCACCTATGTCTGTGCTAACAGGTGTCTTCCCAAATCCCTGAATTCCAGCTAATGACATAATTTCTCCTTTTCTCTTTCCTAGATGGATTTTCACAAGAAATTCCCGTGCAGAGCCCTGTATCCATCACCAAGTTCAAAAACAGTGTACGGATGACATGTAAAATTCAAACATTAGGGGAAAATTTTGTTCGCACCGTCATACACTGGTATCAACAGAAGGAGGGTAAAGCTCCAGAGAGGCTCCTGTTCTTTTCACAAGGGAAAGTTTCGGTTGAAAGTGGCTTTCAAGAGAACAGGTACATGGTTGAAAACGTTTCTGGCCAGAACCAGTGTGTTCTTACAATAAACGATGTACTTCCAGATGACGCTGCTACTTACTACTGTGCCTACTGGGATCCTCACTGTGATAGAAATTCAAAGATCATCAAGGCAAAAAAAACCCCCCACCTCCCTCAACATCTAAACCACAGGGTTGTCTCCCCTGATCTTCTCACTCCATCTGGTATCAGCTGCAGAAAGGCCAAACCTTTTTCTGCTACCCAGAAAGAGCAGCTAACCCTGCACAACTGTCATTTTCAAAGTCTGGGTTGTCAATAGTCTTCAAACACACGACTACTATTTTAAGGACAAAGGAAGTCTTCACTGCCTTAAGAATTAGCACATAAATACAGGAAGCTCACCTGCTCCTTTGGTGCTGTTTGCATAGCCATGGCAGAAGTATGGTGGTCCTTGAGGGGACCAAACATTTCATTCACTTTCTAGTCCAGACACTTCTCCCCTAGGAAAGAGTAAAAGAAAGTCAACATGCTGAAGAAAGTACCTTGGTGGTGGGAACAATACACTTGCCACCGCCTAGCACTTCTAAGAAAAAGCTCTCCGTGTTCTGCACTATAGTCTTCCTTGCTCTATCCGTAAGTAACTGTAAGTCCCTGGAAATACTGTTTACCTAATTCGGATACCGCAAAATCCCACATGGACCAATTTAAATCAGAGATTTACAGTCTCTTATCTACCACAGCTGATGATGTGTTGCTTATAACCATCCTCTTCTTTAATTTCATGTTAAGGCAAATAGGATAAACAGAGGAAGGAAGGAAGGAAGGAAGGAAGGAAGGAAGGAAGGAAGGAAGGAAGGGAGATTTGCTGAAACTATCAAGTTTGATGGACTTACTTCAAATTTGCAGTGTGTTAGATAAGGCCCTGGGCACAGCATGCATTTCACAGAAGAGCCTGAGAGGAATAATTTTTGCTTGTGCCTTTACCCAAGTATGTGCCTACTCATCAGCTTTTCTTTTCTTGATGAAGAGTGTAATTGGATTCCTGAAATGCTGGACCATCACACAATGAACTATGGGACTTTAGAAAGAAGATCAGGCTAGGTGCAAATAAACACCAAACACCAGTAGCCTCAGGTCTTGAAAGTCTTAAACAAAAAGTGAAGCTAAGCACGCAAGCACTCACTGATTTCACTGAATCCTGTTGGTATCTTCAGGGCTAGTCAGTGGTGTGACGCACAACTCAGCCAGAAATTGGTACTCTCACATGCTGTCTTTACTTATAGGATCTCTTTTCCAAAGAGTTTCCTCTTAGTTCAGTGAATCATCCTTATTTTTTGTTGCTTTCTGCCTTCCACGTGCAGTGGCTTCCAGCATCCATCACTACTGCACTTGCAGTGCTGCAGTCAGCATTGATATTTTTCTCAGACACCCTTCCCTTGTGGTCCTGTCACGGTATCAGAAAGCTTCCTGAAGCAGACCTCATCCTCGTCAGAGCATTTGGCATCACTATGCCCATTTTATGATAGTAAAATTGATGTGGATCATTAAGTGACCCATCTCCAGTGGTTTCACCACCTGTAGAACACTCCGGATGTCTCACAGGGGACCAGCACTTCCCAAGCTTCACAACAGCCGTCTATGGTCTGTCACGGAGCAAAGTCCCACGCAAGGGACAGTCTCCTTTTCCCTTCCCTTCCCTCCCCTTCCCTTCCCTCCCCTTCCCTTCCCTTCCCTTCCCTTCCCTTCCCTTCCCTTCCCTTATGGTCTGTCACGGAGCAAAGTCCCACGCAAGGGACAGTCTCCTTTTCCCTTCCCTTCCCTCCCCTTCCCTTCCCTCCCCTTCCCTTCCCTTCCCTTCCCTTCCCTTCCCTTCCCTTTCCTTCCCTTCCCATCCCGCTTGCTACCCCATCCCCACTGCTCCCTGCAGGAGCTCAGGGGACACGTTCATCTGGCTTGACGCACAGTGTCACCAGCTGCCACCCAATGGAGTCCCCTCCTCCTCCCACATGGCATTGCTCACTCTGAACCAGGGCTGGTTTCCTTCTCCTCTGAGTCACAATGACAGCAGAGCGTGACAAGCAAACATGCTGCTGCTGGCAGCGCTTGTGGCCACAGCCGCTTGGTCTTGTAAGTCTTTCCTTATTTTCTTACCTTTCCTCACAGGCACCTATGTCTGTGCTAACAGGTGTCTTCCCAAATCCCTGAATTCCGGCTAATGACATAATTTCTCCTCTTTTTTTCCCTAGATGGATATGCACAAGAAATTCCCGTGCAGAGCCCTCTGTCTGTCACCAAGTCTAAAGGAAGTGTACACCTGGAATGTCACTTTAAAGACTTCTCTGGAGATTTTGATGACACCGTCATACACTGGTATCAACAGAAGGAGGGTGAAGCTCCAAAGAGGATGCTCTATGCAACACAGAGAGAAACAGTAGATGAGGGCTTCCAAGCGCACAGGTATAGGAATGAAAGGGTTTCTAGCAAGAAACTGTGTATTCTTAGAATAACCGATGTCATTCCAGATGACACTGCTACCTACTATTGCGCCTACTGGCATAGTCACCGTGGTAGAAACTCAGAGATCACCTAGACAAATACTCCCTCAGCGTCTCAACCACAAACAGCTTGAAAGATCTCAGCTCACTTCCCCTTGTGTGGATGAGCTGCCTGGGCTCACATGCAGGCTCTGGAGAAGCAGGACATGCTCGGTGCTGACCAACTTCTTGGAAGCATCAGCTGCCAAAAGCTAGAAATTTCGATTGAGCAAGTGCAAAACGCAAAGGGGACGGTGAAGGTCCAATATCTAACCCATCCTCTCCGTTCCACTTTCTCCTCCTCTTCGCTCAAGCATGTCAGTGAACTAGTTGCAAGGATTTAATTAATGGAAAGGGAGTACTTTTCCATATTGTTGTTCCTGGAAATAGGTCAGCACATTGTACTGGAGCTCTTCAAAGCCTTTGGTCTGGCAAAGAAAACTGAAATAGAGAGCTTTAGGCTGAAGGTTCGTAAAATTTTAAGCAACGGAAAAGGAGTCTTCTTTTCACTTAAAAGTTAGCAGCTGTCAGAGGAGGAAGATTTTCTATTTATTCCTCCTGAGAAGTGGGCATTTTTGTTCTTTCTTTTTGAGCTGTGTCAGTCCCTTTCCCTCTCCTTCTTGCTTACCACTGTCTGTGTTTCACTGGTGTTCATCATAGCAGTGATGCATCTGAATCACCCAAAAAGTTGGAGACAGAGTTACCAAAGCTAGTACCAAAGAAAAGACCTTTCCATAGTTAAGAACAACTTTTCATATTTATGTCACATACGCAATGCATCCTTCCTAGCTACTGCCTCATAGGGCATGCTGACCCTCATGCCTGAGAAATTAATCCACAGAGGTTTTTCTCTACCATCAAGCCTCTTCTTAATATTTTCCTTTGCTGTAGTACCCTGATACTCTCCTCACTTGGTTCATTGAAGTGTAACTCATTAAAGAATATTAGTCTGATGGGATGAAAAAGTGACACAACAATTTCAAATATGTATTAGGTCTCCAAATGGCTACAGGTCAGTTTTGTCCTCCTCATACTTGCAAGCCAAGATCATATAGGGGAGTTAGACAAGCTGTCTGCAACATGCAATGTTTCACTTTTTGTTTCTTCTGATAAGACCTCCCAGCTACTCACTGTCGTGACCATAATCAAACAGTCCCAGCAACTGCAGGTGAGATGGTAGTGGCCTCCTTCGCTGTGTGTCTAAGGACACGGCAGGAAAAGCACTGGTCAGCACCATTCTCTGTCTACATCATTCCTCCCATTGCTTTGTGGTTGCGATTACGATGTTCCTGCCCAGGAGCCTTCAGAGTAGACAATTGCTTTTGTTACACCTACTTCAATTGAAAGACCTTCACCCTCAGTCTAGCTCCTCTAGCCACAAATCATAATTTCTTAACGTTGTTTTGTGGTCGTTATGGCACATGAGATCCCAGAAGCACTCAAACTCAGTTTCTTTTAAATGGCAAACTAAGCATGGAGGCTGTTTGATTGACAGCAGCTGTGACTCCTCTGATGTTATCTTGGTCTGTTTTGTAAGAAGCCCGTGCACAAAGGAAAAGCCTCCTTCTCCCACCAGCTAGTATATGAACAGTGCCGGTGAGCTGCTATTGCAGAGCCTGGACTGATTCCAGGAGATGGGCGGACAATAACCACATACCAGGGGCAGAAAAGGCAACCTACAGCACACGGACACCTTCGCGATGCTTATGGTGCTGGCTCTCCCTCCTTTCCCTCTGCTGAATTGTATTAAGACAACTAAGAATGAACTTCATGCTAGTAGTACTTGATGTCACTTAATTGCAGGTGGGAGGGGGTGTACCCCTTTGGGAAAGAGCAGGATCGTCACCTGAAGGTATGTGTTTTTTTAACATGCACAACCCTGTGCACCTATTTGTGTGTGTAAAATTGAAGAGAAACCTTCATCTAATTCTTAGGTGTTAAGCGGAGGTGTTATCTAACAAATTTGCAGCCCTTCAGGAAAGAGATTCGCTCCGAAGGGCATTAGGTATCAGCTGAACAACCAGGTGCAAGTCTGAAATTCCTGACATCCTCCCTGTAGCCAAGGGCCAGGCCTTCACTCAGTCTCCCGGGGCTGACTGGGAAAAAAAATGGCATTTTCTTCAACAATGGCATAGCAAGAGAGCACGTTATCTTATTGCAAAGTGAAAACATAGTGTGGACCATCTGGATCAAATACTTCGGCACGGGAACCAAGCTAATTGTCTCTAGTAAGTACCATTATTATTCATCTGATTTTCACAGTGTCATTCACGTTCCCAGATAATCAAGAATGAAAGGCTGTAGGAAAATGAATTTCTGCCTGATAAATCCTGTTTTATCTGTGAACTGTGCGTGGTGCCCCAGTGGTGTGGGTTGATGTGCCATAAAGGTATCGACCTCTTGAATAGAGAGATCACCTCTAGAACAATTACTGAATACTTACTAAGGATGGGGGAATGGAAAAATGAGGAGAGGCAAAAATTTAAATATTGGGATGGATTCATTCCTGTTCTGGGAAAGAAAAGCGAACTACTTGAAAGTTTACTCTCAGAACAGCAAGTGAGAAACTCAAAAAGTTTCTTATTGATAGAGGTCGTTCAGTCTAAGTTGACTGGGAAGAAAAATTGCCTGGAATGTAATAAATTTCTAATTCCTGGCCCTACTAAAAGTAACTGTTTTACTTTTGCATTTGCATTATTAATTGTGGTGAAGCTATGCAATCAATAGGATGAATGCTGTTTTCAGTATAAAGCATATAGCAATGCCTACAGTATGTTTCTTAGGAAATACATGCTATATCAAGGTGACTATAATTAAGTCAAATCGTAAAAAGCAGAGGAGAGTTACAAAGAAATTTAAAATGTTGTCCATGCCTCTGACCAAAAATGTTCTCTGCTGCAATTTGCAATTAAACTGTGCCTGTGTAGAGGCAGCTGCTTTTGCCAAAAAGACGACAGCGTAACCTCTTACCAAAGGCATGAACTTAGTTATGGGCGTCAGTAGGTTTCGTTTAGAATATGGACTTTGCATTTAAAATATGGGCTTCAAAATATGAGTTTAATGGAACTTTAGTTAAGGTACTTTCACACAATAAGTAATTCGCAAGATAGTACACTTAAGAAAAAAAATTGTTTATCTGTATATTTAAATCAACAAATAACTAGTAAACTTTTTTAATTTCCTTTGGGAATCATAATGTAACTGCATTTCTTCTTAAAACAGCAAAAAGAGGTTACTTCAGAGAAAACCTAGCAGATCAGAGGCAACAGCTCTTTCTTAGAGAAATCCCAGAGCTAGAAGGATTAGAACATAGTTATAAAATAAGCATGACACTGCTTTCTTCTCAGAAAATGCTGGGTTTAAAAACCTGAACTTTTTACTCACTACAAAAATCGAAGTATTTCTAAAAATGGCACTCTAGTCAATGTTGAAAATTCAGCTATTGCACTGGGCCAGATTTATCACCAACCTCTAAATCAGAGAGACTTTTTCTGTAGTCTACGCAAGAAAAGTGCAGTGGAGGTGATATTGCTAAGCATTATCGGACTGTGGGATGCTGTTGTCAAAATATTTGGAAGTGGAACTAAGCTTATTGTTTCAAGTAAGTACAAAATGTAAAACTTAACTACTTCTGAAATGCTTTTCATACTCTTAGATACTGGCTGCATGAAGTGCTCTGCTATTGTAGCTCCCGCTAGTTTTAACCCTACTGAATGCTTTGGAGGATTTTCCTCTTAAACAGCATTTCCATATGCAGAACAAAACGTAATTGTTTCGTATTTATGTATGAAATGGGGGAAACAAAACACCTATTGTAGCACAGATGTATAACTAACACCATTATTATTTTCTTTTTAAAGATGGCAAAGATAGCATTGGGAGAACAGAAAGATGTTTTTGTCTTTAAATACGCATATTCAACCTTTGTGATATTTCTAGTTCATTATGAAAGAAAAGTGTCAAACCTTTGGGTTACTCAAATTCTTTGAAAAGCAAAACGTTTTCCTTCAGGGCTACGTCTGACTATACCAAATGAAAGGAGTTATCTGAGATATGCCCAGAACTGTCTGAAGATACGCATAGTTGAAAGGCTGCTCTCTCTTCCTAGCTTTTGCAGAAACCGCTTATTATCAGTTATTACTGTTGTTAAGGAAGAATGCCAAACTCAAAATGTTTTGACATACTCATCAAAATTACTTTGCTTCAAGTAAACTTCAGGTGCTTTGATACTTGCCGGTGATTCAGCTCAGCTAAGCACCTGAGGTGAAAACAGTTTGCCTAATCTTGACCATCTGAAAATGGCATATCTGGTTAGTGGGAGGCTCGATTCCAGTCCATGCGGGGTTTTGCTTCATGTTACTGACAACAAAAATACTGGTCAGGGGTCTTGTGCTGCTCAGATCTCAGCATAATGTTTGCCAATTCTAGGTTTGATTTTATGAGGGTGTATAAGGAGCAAATTACTTGGCCAGTATCTGATCAAATAGATCTTCTGCTGGTGCTGCCTCTATCCAGAAAGCACAGACTGAGCCAAGGTGCTCAATCTGCACCGTCCGTCTGAACTTTCAGAAGACTAAAATTAGCTGAGACGAATCCTGTCCATTTAACAACATACATGCCCTCAAAAACCTCCACTTTTTTTTTTTAAGTTTAGTTTAGGCGACTGCTCCTTTTTTACTTTTCTAGGGTCTCAAAATTTATTATATAGCAAATCTTATTTTCTTTAAAGAATACTATTTATCCATATAAAAATAACAGAACTGCATTTTTATTGCAAAGACTTTATTCACTGTGATCAGTTATTACAATGAAGTGTTCGGCTCTGGTACAAAACTCATTGGGTCAGGTAAGTTACATGCTATTTTCCATACAATAAGCTATAGGAGCTTGGGGTGGTCATGTAGATGAGTGTTAACAGTGTCCCAGAGGGCACTCAGCTCACTTAGAGCCTCAGTCGGCATCATGCTTGCGCAGGATTCCCCTCCCCAGCCTGTCATTCCCACAGTGAGCCTTGTTGTATTTGTAATGCAGTGGTTTAGGATCACAAACTTTTCTGAAAAGGAGCTATATTGAGCCACTTTTGATCATACTCCTCCTTGGAAATGTGGTGGAAAATGGCCTGTAGTAGTTTCCAGAGCCCTCATTCTTTCTTCCAGCTGTACTGAAGGAACAAGCAGGGAATCAAGCAGCTGTGAATTAAGCATAAGAAAGAAAACCTCTTCCCAACACAGATACAAAGAGCCATATGCAATGGCCATTGCCAAAATCCTTTTTTAATCAGGCTAGTAAAAGTGAAATAACTTGTCCATAATTATTTTTCTCATGTACACAGCACTTTGGCAGTAGAAATGAATTCGTACCTCCAAGTGCTCTTCTTATTGCTTAGTAACACGCATATGAAGAAGTGATCCATTTTTTCGCCTTTCCTGCAGAGACATTTATTTAATGGAAAGTGGAGGACAAAAATCTTTTTTCCCATTAAATGTGCTTTAAACAACATAATCCTGGAGTAAACAGCTACACAAACACAAGGCAGAGGAACTATTGCTACCAAATTATTTAAGCCTGGTTAAATACATAAACTTATATTAGCATATCAAGCAAAGATTGTTTTTAATGATTTATGTCAGAAAGACTAAGTAAATCATAACTATAATTCAACAGAAATATCCATGCCAGGATAAGCGTGTTGTTTTTAGTGAAAATCCTTACCTTGTTAATCAGGTAGTTGCCATGCTTTTAGTATATACAGTTTAAAATAAATTCTTTTCAAGCACCACTCTAATTCTGTAGGATTTTGTCTTTATGTGGCCAAGGCTTCTAACCGATTAATAGACTAAAAAGGCTGTAGTTACCTCACGCTTAGGATCAGGCATTTCATCACAGCTTGTCTTTTCAGAGGTGACTATCCAACAGTAGCTCAGTAAGTTACTCCTAACGGAAAGAAATGGAGAAAACCAGGACTTATCCTAAGTGACCTTAATTCAATTGAATCATCAGGGTTTGAGCTTGAGCAGAATCTTTTCCCAGATCTATACTGAAAGAGTCAAATATATAAAGAGCCAAACTCCCATCAACTTGTAATGAACTTGATTTTTTTCTTGTTGGTCTCTTTTAATTAGTTCTGACCAAAAGAAAGTTGCTCGAGACTTACAATAATACAGGTAGCAGAAGGGCTGGGATTTGAGAGACTGGTTTGGCATTTGCATTTGGTGGAACAGATGAGTTTCTAGAAGCTGACAGCAGAACAGGAATATTAATCCAACATAAACTGGCAATACAGGATTCTTCTGTAAGTATCTTTCCAGGGAATTTAGGCACTCACGAGGTCACAACAGGGAAGCCAAGACTGAACCAGCCTCTCCAAATCCAGGTTTTTTCCTTCGGCACAGAAGCAGAGTAGCTTGCTCGGCCAGCGTGGGGCTGGTTTCCCTTTGCCATCTCTTCTGCTGCAGCTGCAGCTGGGTCTCCCTGGCAACTCACAAGCATATTGCTAACTTATTTTGAAGTGATAAAAAGAACGATCTACTAACATTTCTAGGAAATAATTTCATAGCAGAAATTATGGCAGCAATATTTGATGTCTTTAAACGCTATCTCCTAAATATTACTGAAGTATCTACCTTGTTTTCATCAAACGCATTGAAGTTCAGAGTTCAAAAAGCTACAATTATTTTTTGTAATTATATATTATAAAATATATGTTGCCTAAAGATAGATTATACTTAAATTTATTTATACATTACCTGAAGTTGGATTAAACTGACTTTCTGCCCTTTTAAATCAAAATGGTGAAGATTAATGTATGCATTAGTTTGCATTAGTATTTTTTTTTAACAGGTTAAAACATGAAGCCCTGAATCAAAACCCAGTACACTTGAAAGTCCAAATGAGTGTTAGTGCAGAAGGATGGAGCTGTAAGATATAAATAAGGGAAGATGTGGCCATTCAAAAGAAATCTGTGAAGTGAAAGCCTCTTACCATGATTAATATTAATAGGAACATTTGCTAGCAGCTTTAAAATAGCAAGAATTTCATGGGCATGAAGATGAATTCAGTACCCGATTATTTTAAGTCAATGTTCAGTGTGAACATTTCCCTGTTCATAATGGTCTCTGTTATCCTAAAACCATGGCCCAAAAAGATCAGCTTGAATTGGTGATAGAATGCAGCGCTAGGTTCTCATTGTAGGATATATATTCATACACAGATGTACATGCACATATATATAAATGCATTATTTCCCATGTTGCCAAGGTGATAACCTCTACTGTTCCTCACGTTTTCCATAGAAACGTCAGGGGATATCGGAGGAGTCTCAGTCTAGAAAATTACAAATCTCAGGTGTGCAGGATCTGCTTAAATATTTCTGTGATTTTGAATGCCCACTGTTAAATTAGGGCTCCATCCTCCACTTTGTCAGTATTCCAAACCCTTAGTTTTTGTGTACATGCAAGCTTATTTATTTAAACCTGAAAGACTAACATAAGTGAAATCTGTTGTATGAGCAAACACAGGTTCATCCATACACCATTTTGTAAGGAAAGTTTTAATTCTAGAAGTCAGTGTCAAAAGAAACGGGTGCATTTCTAATAAGGAAATGAGGCTAGGCTGGGACACAAAATGAGGTTTTTAAAAACATTGAGACTAGGTGGGTTTTTGTAAAGGACTTGTATACAGTGACGATTACAAAATCTTCGGAACTGGCACAAAGCTTATTGTTTCTGGTAAGTTTTTTAATGTCTAAGAAAATATGCCTTATTCTGATAATCCAAAATCTAGAGGAGAGGGAATGTGATATGCTATTTTAAAATTATAATACAGATTAAAATACAGATTTAAAAGTATGCAGAAAAGTGATGTGGATTCTTTGCAGTAGCAGAATTCATTTCTTTGGCACCCAAAACGCTTGTATAAGAGAGGTCAGGGTAAACTATAGGACTTCACATAAACCAGAAATTGTGGAAATATAACTTCTTTTGGATACTTAGGGCTACATCAGGTCATTCCCTTGTGCAAAGCTTACTGCCCAGAGCAGCTGGGTCAAGGTAACTCAGAAACATGGCTGTAGATCGCCCCTTGGCCTCAGAGCAGGGGGAATAGAGGTGCTATACAGGAAAACATTGTGAGTGCCAACAGATCGCCTAAAGCATGGCTGAAGCTCTGCCTGTCTGTTTGGTCAAGGGGAAGGTCTTTCCCCATGGATTTCTCCAAAGCTGATTTATTCCATCCAAGAGGAACTGAGCTTTCTTGAATGCACTGCAGCACAGTTTAGCTGCAGGCAGACAATAAATAATCAGAAGATTAAAATGTGGGGGGAAGTCCTGGACCTTTGGAAATGTTGCCATTGTCAGCAGGATTTCATGTGAGGTACACATGGTTTTCCCTGGGGAGAAGCCAGAAGGCCCTGGGGAAGGACGTGCATGGGAATGATGGAAGTTGATGCTTCTCTACAGCACACTTAGATGCATGTGTGATGTTTCCTTTTGGTACTGAGTACCTGTTACAGTACTGCGTAGGCAAGTACGGCGGGATTTGAGGGTGAACAGTCCTGATCCCGCACCCAGTTAAGCAGATTACAGTAACCTCAACATGCAGAGGATTAGGCCCAAAATGAGTTAATGCCCCTCCACTAGGCTTGAGAGCAGTCGTGGCTGTTCAGGACTGCCTTTCATTAATTCAGTTAAACAGCGGTCTAGCATGTGTGTATTTTTAAATTGTGTGGTCAAAAACACTCACCATCCCAGAAAAAAATTAATTTTCTAGAAAAAAAATCTAGAGGAAATATGGTAGCTCTATCAATGCCCTGGACAACAACAGTTTTGGTTTGTTTTGATATTTTTTTAAACAAGTGATGGCAAAGATTAGCTTGAAACTGAATTTAAAGTACATATCACTAAAGGCTCTTTGGGAATAGCAGCATTAGCTGAGACTGAATTCAAATTTTCTACATTCATGTAGCAAAGTGAATAGACTCTTATTGTTCATATGATGGTTGTTAAATCTGGTTCTTGTCCGGCCAAAACGTCCCAAGCAGTTTCTGTAAGGGAATGACCACCAGTGGGTGGTCAGCAAGGTATTTGGCTCTGGCACAAAACTCATCATCTCCAGTAAGTGTTTTCAAAGACTCATTTTTTTAAGTTTTGTAATGGGAAAGCTTTGGAGTGAAGGTTGACAGCTCTTTACGGTATCTGGGGAGGCTCACAGTAGGTCAGGACTATACTGTGTTATTATCAGTGATAATACCTGGAGTCGCTGGCAAGCAGGACAAGAACGCTGTTTATGAGCTGAGTGTGCTGCGTGCTCTCAGCTCCCACTGGCTTGAAGGGGAACTGAGGAGCTTTGAGTATCAGACAAAATTACTCCATTTTGTGGGATCATCCAAGTAATGAGAATTAAAATTTCAGCTTAAGAACACATTGACCTTATTTATAAATCTTATTTATAGACACTTATAAAGAAACTGTACAGGAGTTTAATTAAGAAAACTTTTGACAGTTAATCTATAGCAATGTGTATTTTAACCCCAAATTCGTTAATAGCTCGTTGATTATGAGCCTCACTCCAGAATTTTATTTGCACAATGTTTTGCAGGCTTACTGCATTATTACAAGAGAGAAAAGACAGATTTTAGCTTCAGAAATATCTGCACATGCTTATATATTATTTAACATGTACCTCTTAAAACCTGCCTTAGAATACTGTTTAACAAAGTAAACAGCAAAATTTTTGTAAGTTGAACTAAACCAAAAAAGACAGTGGAGTGGAAGTTCATGACTTTAAAATTCTTCAGAAAGGATCAGATCATTTGCCCAGAAAAGACAGTGTAAACTGTCTTGTTGACTTCAATGACTTTACAGATCAGCCTGAAAATAGAGCCAAATCTTCAGCCAATTCTACAAGTTTTCATCCTTTTTTCCATAAACGTACCTACAGTTTATGGAGATATATTTTTTTTTTCCCCTACGCACAAACATATATATACATGTATATATGCAAACCTTGATTTGTTCAGTTCTCCACTGTCACTCATTTACCTATGTGTGTGCATAAGACTGTCCCATGCGCGCACATAGTTGCACTTATTCAAGCAATGTTTCCTCAGTCTTGTGATGTGATTTAGGTGTTTCATTTAAGCTAAGCACCTGGGGTCTTTTTACGGTAAATGGAAAGACATTGGCAATTCCAGAGATGGAAATTATTCCATCTTAATAGAAGTCTCTAAAATGGGCAGGATGAACTAGCAGCTGGAAGCATCTCTCTCTGCTTCTCTATTTAGATTTGATAATCCAAAAGAACAACATCAAACTAGACAATTAAATTTTAGCCTACTGCCAGGGTAACTTACTAAGCCTTGAAAATCTAAAAGAAACATCTAAAATAGTCATGAGGCTTTGCAGGGTGTAATGTCACTGGGACAGGAGCTACGTCATGGTCTTCTGAACATATAGAACTCCAGAACAAATAAATCATTCTATAAATTAGTTTAATCTTGCATCCTTGGGCGGACTGATGCATAAAGAAGATAAAATTAACCCCTAAGTTAATGTTAGAGAGTCATAAAATTGTTAGCAATTTTATTTCTGGTACAACAGAACTCAGTCCACATCTTCATTTCAATGACAAATGTCCAAAATGAAGGAAATTCATAGTTTAAGGGTTATCTTTTTGAAGGTAGACAGCCTTATGCTTTGGTCATCTTTGTTTTTAAACACCCAGTATGAAATACTTCAAAGAATCACTAAGTTGTTTTAGGCGGGATGCGATGTAGAAGATTTCTCTAGAATAGCCAGATCATTTAAAGAAAGGTGGAAGCTTTTTGACAAAAATACATGTTTATATTAATGTGTTTTCTCACAATGCATGAGAACTGCACCACTCAGCCTGACCACACTTTAAACCCCATGCATCTAGCTGCTCAAATTCCATGGCAGGGGAATCTAAAGAGGAAGAGTGGTGTAAGGAGATGAACAAATAAAATCTCTCTGCTGCCTTAAAAAAAAATAGTCAGTACCTTCTGTATAACAAAAGTCGATTTTGAAAACTGTATCTAGTCTTCACTTGCAGTTAGGCATAGACAAAAACGATTGCCCATGAGCCCTGCCTATGCACGCACTGCAGAAGTTCACGATTCCTATAACAGACTCTTAAATTTACTATCCATTTTTATAATATCAAAAGGTCTTCTCTGTGTGGACAAAATCTGGGTGATTTGGACTCCTCCTAATAACATAAGGTTTAATCCAGAGAGGCAAATGAAATGGAGATTACCTACAGTTAGCTTGTGGAAATGGCTCACATTTCATTTAAAATATATTCACGTATGTTCATACTGAGCATGTTTCACAAAGTACATCACCTACAACAACCCTGGTATGGATAGATATGCTATTTGTGTATAAAAATGTTCTCTAGATATACCATGTTCTTCTGTTTTAGTTTAGTTTTGGTTTTTCCTTTTCAGATGTGTTAGTTCAAACATTTAAACAAATCTAGTATTAAAGGAACAGCATCGCCAACCTTTGGGGTCCAGAGCATTTTGTGATTCCATTTTCCTGTCTTTATCAAGATCTTCTCCTGGCAAACACATAGAATGTCTTCAAAAAATGGCAACAATAAATTTTTGTTGCCTTTTTTTCCCCAAAAAACCACACAAAATTAATATCAGCTTTTAAAAGATTAATTAGATATAGCAGATGTTCATTAATTAGCAGTGGGGACTTCTACTGGGGACATAAAACTGCAAAGATTTGAAAGGCAGGTGGTCTACCTTTAACACTCTGCAAACAAAATTTTCATGTAGTTGTTTTTGCATAAGCATTATAAAGCAATATGAAATTCCTCTTATCAAATAAATTAACAAAGCTCTTTCAGGAACTATTACTATTATTTAATAATTGTCAAAGACTTGTGCAGACAAATACACATTCTGACAGCAGTACTGCTTGGAAGGCTGTGGGATTTAGGCTCTCACGTAGTCGCCTGAAGTTTTCTAACTCAGTTTCAAGGGAGATTATTAATGTCTTCAACAATACTTCAGTTTCTTAACGTTTCTCAAACATAATTTTTCAAACAGTGAGTAGGTTTCTAAGGTTTTAAATAACCAGACTTAAATTTATTTTTCTAATAAAATCTCAAGAAATCTTTTGTGAGATAGTGTTTAATCTACTCTAGTATTAAAGAGTAGTATTTTATCTAGTATTTTATCTACTCTAGAGTATTAAAGAGTAGACCTAGTCTACTCTAGTCTCCCTCTATCAGATGTGCTGCTTGATAAGAAGCATGAACGAAGCAGTCTAGACGTTAGTGTTTACTAAACAATTTAGGACTTAAATAATGTTTCTCCATGCACATGGCACAGTATCAAAGCTTAGATCAAACATTCTCCAGACTCTGGAAGACTCTATATTGTCTAAGCAAAAATGACTTGAGAATATTTGAATTGAGTCTTGTCTTCTGATTTTGAGTTTGATTTTCTGTACCATGCTCATAAAAACCTCTATTCATTTTAGTTCTCTATAAAATAACACATTTAAAAATAAGGTTAAAAGTCATATTTTCTATTCCCAATTATTCTAAAGAGTATTGTAACTGGTTTTGACTGAAAATTAAAACTTGCCATTTGGGTCCATTGAAATAATATTTAATATAAAGTGTGTTTGAATGCCAGGTTCATCCAGCTCGCCAGAAACTTATTTTTACTTCCAGGATGGAAACAGCTGTAATTCAACCATCCTATTGCTTAAAATTCCCTTCATACATGAGACATTTCTATTCCCATCCTAAGTATTTCATAACAAATTAGAAAGCTAAAACATTTGTTAGTAAGACATTTAGCTTGTTGCTCTTCAGAATTTGTATTTTGTGGCTGTGTATTTATTTGCTGTACACTATTGATCTTCCAACTCTCTATTGTGTTAATTTTTTTCCTCCAATAACCAATCCAGACAAAGGAATATCTCCACCGGCAAATTCTGAAATCCTGCAGAAGAAACATGAAAATCAGATAATTTATGTTTGCCTTATTGAGAAATTCTACCCAGAAGTTATTCGGGTGACATGGACCGATGGAGAAAAGGAGGTAACAGACAACGTAGTAAAAGGAGACATTTGGAAGCCCACAGAAGAGGATAAATACTCAATCGGCAGCTGGTTAACTGTACCACTGGAGAACAAAGATAAGATCTATCGCTGCAATTATGAGCATGAAAGCAGACAGTCATTTCTGCAGACACAAGGTATACTACATGTTAAAAAATTCATTCTACGTATTACTATAGACATCACTTTTTCTTTGCAATAAATAATATTATAGAAATAATGCTTTCTATTACTGTTCCTGAAAGCATCTGTGCTCCTTGGCACAACAATAGCTAAAATGCACATCTGGAGAAACTACCAAAGTTTTCCCAGAAAAAGCAACCCAGCCTGCGCTATGCTCCCCACGTGAACGGCCCTTTGCAATAGGAAAACAGCAGTTCTTGAACCTCATCAGGTGTAAACTAGCATAGCTCCAAAAGGTCTGCACTGAGCCGTGTCGGTTACTTTCCAGTCTACAGAAGTTTCTGAAAAGAGTATTAGCTCTGTTACCCATGGCTTACAGGTATAAGTACCTCTGACACCTCCTGACATTAGTCACAGGTATAAAAAACTAAGGAGTTAAAAACGAGGTTGCTGGGGATGTAGAGCAAGTTTAAATATATTACTTACCCATAGTTCAGCAATAGTGAGATAATAACCATGTATGAATTTTCAAATTTCTCACTTAATTGTGGAAAGATGGATTATGCAAAGGAAAATCTGAAAGACAATGCGATTTTAAAGAAAAAAGTAACCTATAATAAATGCAAATTGTTTAAATCTTTAAGAATTAAATCTTTAAGAAAGATGTAGATTGATTTTTTCTCAGTACCTACTTCTGTTCAACTTACTATAAATTAATGTAACTCCAATGAGTGAGAGCATGGCCATAAATAACCATTACATTTTAACCTTCAAAATGTATTCTAACAAAAATATGCTTTAAGTTTAGTTAGATGAAGGATGTATTTAGGGATGTAATACGGATGTCTTTAAGCTCATGTATCAATGCATACAAACACCATAACCAAGAACAAACACAAAGTTGCTGCTTCAAGCACAAAAAGGGTTTATTTTAGAGAACAACCACCACCAAAATAGCAAATTCCCAATAAGGGAACCTTAGATCATACACTCCTCAAGATCATTTGTTAGTGTTGAGCAACCATTAAGTAACAGACCAATTGAGGTGCTTTCCGATGCAAATTATTCTGCATTTCTAATAACAGTATGTTATGAAGGCAGACCCCAGCTACTTCAGTGACAAGATCAGGTGGTCAAGCTGACTGCAGTTCCAAATAACTCTGCCAAAGAACAGCCTAATGGACACATTCCTAAAAGGGCAAAGGCAAACCTCCCACTTACGGCAACAAATATCCAGTCACTTCTCTACGAGCATTTCCCCCCTTCAAATTCTCTCTGCAAATGAATCCTACTTGTGAACATCTGCTCTGCAGACAGATCTTAAACATCTTTCTTCTGTTGTTTAACACTAACTTCCCATTTCACTGTTGCTGTACTGCCTCTTTTTTCCCCTATTTCTCAATTCATGTTTGCTAAAATTAAAGAAAAGCCTAATTGGGGCATTTAAACTCTCTTTCCATTAGATTCTACAAAGACTGTTCCTCAGGGAGAGGACTGCAGCACATATCCTGGAAACAGCACAGTTTTTAATAGAGGTAATTAAAATGTATTAAAATGTGGGAAAGTGATGCATGTCAGGCAAGAGTTAGATATTGCTACATATGCTCAGAACATCATGAAAATGATCTTTCTAAATAGCGTACAAGAAATCTTTTAAGTCTGGGGTCTGTAACTTAAAAACGCTTCAGTGGTACTCTGAATTAACTTCTGTTGTGGATTATAAGAAGGGGCTCTCCTACCTTTATTAGGTAGCTTTATTAGGACCCTACAGATGCTGTTTGGGCTACTAGATTATTAGCCCGCATTAAGTGCCACTTTTTTAAATACCTGAAGCACTTAAATGTTCAATGCTTCAGCTGATGCTCTATCAGCCAACCAATTGCCCAGCACTTTGGACACAGAAATTTTCTTTTAGCTTGAATGGGGATTTAGGAAGAATCGTGAGCACTTATGTTCAAAAAATCCAACACAAAAGGATTCAAGCAAACACGGTGCTACTGGTAATCAGTGCTGGAAGCACTAGAATGATGTTCTTGCCTTTGCAGGGAATAATAATTGAGAGGCAATCTAGTGCTAAGAAACCTGTTTGGTCTAGAACTTATTAGCAGTGCAAACCCACTCAAAGGACAGTCAGACATTGTATGTGTTTATACACTGCCCACAGGAATCAATGTAATTGCAGCAGTAAACAGACTACACAGTCCCAGTTCTACCCGTCTTTTAGGAGGTTGTACAATATTGACATTAAACAAGACTTTCCTGTCTTATGTTTGTTACAGATCACTTAATGCACAGGGCAGCATATTTAGTGTACATCATCCTTCTTCTGAAGAGCTCCATGTACAATTTCATCGTACTCTTCTTCATCTACAGAATGTGGGCTCCAACCAAGCACCACGGAAAGAAAGCATAAATGCTGGTTTAGGAAAGGCTTACAAAATTGTCTTCAATTTGCTTTGCTATATACTTACCCATATAGACTCCCCTGCTCTCAGTGTTAGATGTAACAACAAAAAGAAATCCAAAAATAATTTTCCAGCATTAGTGCATAGGGCTTGTTTTGCTTTACTGCTAGTGTTTTTATTTCAGTCTGATTTTCCTAATTTTTCTGAGTATTGAACTGAGGTGGACAATAGGAGTAAGGTTACGTACCTTGGATTTTAATCCGAAGTCCATATTGCAAAATGCGGAAGGTACTTATGTTAAAAGTAGTTATGCATGCAGAAGTTTAGAGGTGTAACGGGGCTTTTGACATATAAAGCACAGATGCGTTTTGTCATTGTGCTTAAAGCTTAATTAGGAGCATTGCTGTGCCGTAAATTCACAGGTTGTTGTTCATTTTTACTTTCAATGACTTATTGCAACTCTCATGTATCTACCAAATCAGGACTTAAATATTCTTAAGTGATGTGTGCTTTAAGAGTCAATTAAACACAATTTTTAAAAGTGAACATAATATTTTTGAATGAAAGTTAGACGAGCATAAAAGCAATTCTAAGGTGCACATGTACAGAAATGGAAGAAATCCATCAGCCCCCACACCAGCACTGTGACACAGACTTGAAAACCTACACATTGTATTTTTAAAGAAAGAAAACAATTGTAATGATTACGAACATCATCTTGTTTAGAGATACCTTTTTAAGTTGAGCAAAACCTTAAATCTGAAGCTTTGATAGAGAAAGTGTTTTCACAATAGAGGAAAAATTCTCAGATGTTGGGCTTTGAACTCTTCATCTCCAAGTTCCACAAACCAGTTCCTTTCAGACTTCTGTGGAAAAATCGGAAGTAGACATAGTGGGGTAAAGCATTTGCTCAGTTTGGGGCAAAACACTGCCATAAGTTTGGAGCTCATTGCCTGCAGCATTTACACTCACTGTATCTGTAATGAAGTAGAGGGCAATAAAAGCTTTCCTCCAGGTGCATTTGTGAGGCCTGTGTTTGTTCTCCAGCATTTCCACAGCAGGTACCAAGATGGCTAGAAAACCCGATTCACTTATCTGTTTGTATAAATTCCTCAGGAAATCAAAGATCCTTAAAACCATCGGTTTTCTGCTTTTCAATGTATTAAACAGGAACATTTATACAGAACAATAAAAGCTAGCTCATTTCATCGTTTCTGTTGAAGAGCTAAGCCAAGCCAGGGGGAAATGCAGTGCTGTTACAACAGGACTGCCTTCTAGGGCTCGCGCCATCGCAAGGGAAGGAGAACATAGGTCAGGCTCGGTTCTAACAACCACAGCTATTTTACTAACAGCACATCTCACACGCCATTTTACAATCTGCATATTGAAGCCAGTGCAACTAATTACTGCCTTCAATGTCACGTCACTCTTCAATGTGAAGAAAGATGTGATGTCTAGTCTTTAGTCAAACTCTCTTTGAGAATCAGCTGATATCCCATGCTATTATTTGTTAAGGCTTGGTTCCAATCAAAGTGAAATAAAATAGCTACAAAGGTATTTTTGGAATGCAGTTACTGTAGATTTCAGTAGCGTCATTGATATTACTGTCCCAGTCTCCCCTACCCTTATCTCTGCTAAAGAAACGCTTGATTGCGTTAATGAACCAAGATCTCTTTCACTAAAATGATCCCCAAATTCACTTGTTGTGTCTCATATGTGAAACAGAAAGATGCTGTCCATGCAGCGCAGGAAAACAGAGAGAAAACACAGCTTTTTAAGCTTCTTGCACAAAAACTCTGCCTACATGCAACTCTAAACCATGCGATCACCATGCACCAGAGCATAGCTATCACCTCACAGTTTCTGGGGTTTCTCAAGTACATGGTTGCAGGTTTTACATCTGCAACAGCTCACGTGTACCTGAAGTTTATTTATACAGACATATACTGTTCATACTAAGTTTTTAATTTTTAATTATTTAGCCCGAATAAGAGGACAAGTGGATTTTTAAGGCTTCTGGGTGCTGGGGCGTTTGTTTGCAGGAAGGTTTGGTTATTTAGTGGAAAAACCCTGTAAACTGAACCAGTCACAACTGGTTCAGAGGAGGTGGGCTGCGATGAGAATGGGTGATAAGCTGAGGACAGTTAGACCACAGCCGTCCTGCCTTTTACCACAGTATACTTCTAAACCATTTCCTTCTAATGGAAATACAAAGTGGCAAAAACCACATGCCTAAGTTACATGTAAATAACACAGTGAAACTCACTGTTCGCTATGCGTGTTGGTCTAACTACGTGATTGTGTTATGTATGTGTGCCCCCACAAAAACATGGGTGCTGCAGGATGTCTGCAGGACTTGCAGTCTTATTTATCATGAGTGCACACCAAAGTTAGATGTTATCTATTAAGTGTAAACTTCTGTTGTCAGGACTTTGTTAACACTTGAAGGACATGTCTTCTCAAGTACATATCTTAACACAACTGATTTTCAGTGATTTCAAGCTTCTGCAAGTATGAGCATTACAGCTGCTCTACTCCTGTTACAGAGTTGCAGAATTAATGCAAATACTACAAAAATGGTTACAGGCAATCTGGTGCCTCTAATGAAAAGAAGACAGAATGGGATCAACTTTTGCCATGAAGGCACAAAGGAGTAATCAGCGCAAATGAATTTATTTCTGGAAAGGGATTTGTAATGTATTCTTTATCTTGCTAGAATAATTTTGTGTCCTATACGGTACAACAGCTCACATGCTTGAGAATATTGACTTCTCAACTATCAAAATAACCTACAACAGGTGATATGGAAAACTACCCATGGATTCCTCTCACATGTAGTTGTAAATGAGAAAGATCTGATCTATAAAGGATCATAGCAGTCTGCCAACAGCTAACTTTTGTTGATAGTAGGTACCAACACTAATAAATTTTGGACAGATTCAAATAGTTGACTATTCAGTTTGAGATTTTGAAACTGCTGGGGCATCAGCACACACTTAGAAAGTGCTGAGGAAATAAAAAATCTCAGAGGAATAGTTTGAGAATTCGTTCCTCTGCTCTTATAGATATTTACAGGGAAATAAATCGAATGACAACAAACAAGTAATTGAAAAGTTTTACCTAGTGAGTACAAACAATCATTAAATATAGTTCCACCACAGATAAGTTTTACTTCATTGTATTACCTTTTGATAAGGTATACACGACAACACTTTGCAGTAATTACCTAGTTCTTAGAAGGTTAACCTCAGGAACTACTGAATACATCTTGGACAAGTATTTTCATACCACCTGGGAGGCAACCTAATACACATATGTCAAGAAGATACATCTTTGTGGGATATTACAGCACGTGGGAACAATTCCCTTTGTTCTCTAATGAATAAACTCCCCTGTCAGCAGCTCCACCAGTAAGTCAGACACAGACTCTGTTGCCACAGTTTCCAAATCCCAACAACTTCCCCCAGAGATTTTCTTTTACAGAAGTCAGGATGAATGAAGATGAGAGTCAAGTCAACAGATATTGAAAATGGGAAGGGTCCAAAGAAAAGGCCACCCACTGTTCCCAATGAGCACTAGAAGATTTCAAATCAGAAGCTTCAGCTTCTCAAGAAGATTTCATTCCTCCCCCAGCTGGAGCTTTGCCATTTGTTGAAAAGTGAATGCATGGGGCAAGATAATCCTGAAAATAAATTAAGTCATTCCCAAAATGAGGAGGTCATCTCCCATATTCAACCAAACCGCACTACAAAAAGATACAGGTCTCTGCTATGACAAAGTGCTCAAAGGCCCCCAAAAGAAAGCTTAGGTGGTCACAGGGCTACAGGCCCAGAGACAGCTCCTGCGGGAGGCACTGCTTTGCAGGAAGGTGGCTTGATGGATTAGTCACTTCAGGGAGACTTTTCCTTTCCTTTCCTGGAATAGCGTAACTGCCGATCATTTTGAGGCTCAAACTGTAAAATAACAGGAGGAATAAACTGTTTCCAGGCTGATTTTGTACATGCTACTAGCAGAATGATTACTCAGCAACCAAGACTTCGTATCTAGTCCCTTCACCTTTAATATGAAGTCTCTAACCATTTTCACATAATGTAATTTCGTTTCTCATACCCATAAAGGGTGCTTGAACCAGCTGGGTCAGACTAGCAGAAAGAAAGTGCCCAAGCTGTTACTGAGGCTCAAGTGGCAGCTCGCTGAGCTCAGAGCAATACCAGTCACAGGCCCCTCACCACCACTTGCAATAGGAGGCATGGTAGCTGAATGCACATGCGGCGTTAACCTGGCTAAACTGCAATGGACAACACATTAGCTCGTTCAACTCATGCACGTGGGCAGGGAGGAAGAGAAGGAATAGAAGGAGGGGAGTTGGAAACATCAGCCATTTCTACCTTCAAGTACGGTCACAAATATAGGAACAAAAGGAGGACATTTCCAGAGTGAGCATACAGTCTTTCAAAACTTTCTGAATCTTCAGGTTTGACTGATATACCCACAGCAAAAGGCTGGACCTCCTCTTAAAAATATTAACAGCTTATGTTCTGCAGTTTCGATCTGCTTTTTTGGTGAAGGCGCCCTGTTTCCACCAAGATTTCTCAATCCACCAGCAACCAAAACCAGATCACTGAGCCTCTGCTATGTTTAACTAAAATACATTTTCCTTTTGAGTTGTTCGTGTGTTTTTAGTCCACAGTACTCCCAGGGATCATGCCACTGCATAAGGCTTCAAGAATGTCCACACAGGAAAGCCTGACTGTACCTGGAGCCTCAGCAGCCTGCCCAGTAAGCAGGATATTTCATTCGTGACCTGTATTCCTGTAACCCAAGTTTTCCCTCTCCTAGCTATCGCCTGCGTCAAAAACAGACCTTAATTTGCAATGCACTGGTACAGCACAGCATTATACTCTTCGTTGTCCTGATGCTTCATCACCCCTAGATGGAGCTGTAAGTCACTTCTTATGCCAAGACACCACAAGGTTTCTTACTGTTTTATCAAGTTCTAATTCCTCTTGAGAAAGCTTTTAACATCTGTCTTGGATATACTCCAATTCCTAGTAGGTACAGAGCATACCTGCTCCCCTTCATATAAGCTT